GAAGATATTTTGTAAATTTCCTACTGTATTTTTTTGCACCCTCAGATTCCAGATTTTCAAATAGTTGTATCTCTGCCAAATATTGTCCTATCCTAACAAACCATACATCAATGGAAAGATTATTCATTCAGCTTTCAGATGATGTATAAATCTCAATTTCGAAAAATTGACCCTTATGACTGGTTTTGTGGTCCAAGGTCACATATATACTTTGTTTTGGAATATCAAATATTTTTATTATAATACAAATTTTATCTTTTTAAATTTATATATATTCTAAAAATCTATAAAATTCAAAATTAATCAAAAATTATCATACTGATAAATTGTGTGTGTGTATATATATATATATATATATATATATAGGTATATTTCTAATTATTTATAGGATAATATATACTTATAAAATATATAATATACAGTGGGTCATGGCTGTATTAGATCAAATGGGTGCTTCTACTAAATACTGAGCATTTTTCAGTTTTTCTTTTTTAATAAATTTGCAAAAATGTCAACAATTCTGTGTTTTTCTGTCAATATGGGGTGCTGTGTGTACATTAATGAGGAAAAAAAATTAACTTAAATGATTTTAGCAAATGGCTGCAATATAACAAAGAGTGAAAAATTTAAGGGGGTCTGAATACTTTCCGTACCCACTGTAGATACTTAAAATATGTATAATCATTTTTATTTAATATTTATTTTAACATTTTGGAATATATATATATATATATACACACACACACACACATTTTTAATCATTAATTATCAATTATAATATTTTTTATTTTATATGTATTTTAATAATTTGAATATATACATTCTATATTCAACATAAAATATATTTAGAAAAATATTTTGTATTATTATTTATAAGAATATATGTATGTATATATATAATTATTATATTATAATATATATTATTTATCTTTATGTGCATCTCTCTCATTGTAAGGGTGCAGCTCTGGGCTGCATGGTTGGTCAGATGACGTACGGGAAGAGACAGTTTGAGTCTCTGGATGCAGAGATGAGGAAACTCATCCCTCCATTTCATGAAGCCATGAACGACTCATTATTAAAAGTGGATGCTGATTCAATGGCCTTTAACAGCTACATGGTACAAGACCAAACACAAACAGTGGTTTTAAAAGTATTTGGACACTTTAAAATGTATGAATGAATTTGCCAGTATAAATATGCCACTTGTGTAATAAAAGTGCTGTAAAATATGTCTAGATGACAATAAGTTGTCATGTACAAAATATTTGATAACTGTTTTCTTGCGTGTTTCTTTCATTAGGCTGCTCTGAAATAGCCCAAAGGCACACCTGATGAAATCAAAAGGTACGGTTCATCACTTCTGTGAAGCTTAAACAAACAAACCCATCCTTCCAATCCATCAAACGAGAGACAATACATGTCACCGGGAAAAAAAAGGAACATTCTGTATCATGTTAAACCAGTTTGAGCATTTGACTGATGTAAAAAAACATGTCATTCACCACAAAAAGAAACAGGAAAGACTAGGCACATATTTGCAGAGAGGAGCCTGACTGATTTAACTAACGTTACACAACCATTCAACTTGCATTTAACTGCCAAAGTAAATTCTCTTTGTGGAAATGTAGTTATAGAATGCAAATTACAACCACACTGGCAAAAACACACATAAACATGGCACAGTAGCTTTGACAACCTTTCAAATGTTTCAAACCCCTTATATGGCTACAGTTATTTTAAATTGGGACTGACTGAATGTTTTTCTTTGACTGTAAAGAAAGGAGGGTTTGAAGGTGGCGCTGGGCGTCCCTCTGTCTCTGGCAGAGAGAATAAACAAACTGTGGCCTGCTCTCAAAGAAATGGTGAAATATGGAAATGTGGCGTGTAAATCAGACATTCAGGTGAGACATGGGCTATATAACACAATTTTATTAAAACTGAAATTAAGTTATATAATTATGTAACTGTATAGATATTTGTTTTGTAAATCATAGTAATGTAATACAGTATATATTTACAATGTATTTATTATCTTCTATATTTTTTTAAAATATGTAATATTTTATATATAAATGCTTGTGATGACACAAGATGAAAATACATCTTTTCAAGCAAAGCACTTTCCAAGAGTAAAATGCTGATTTTGCATTTGGAAAAATGACAAATAACATGACTTTGAAGGTCAAAAATAAGCTGATGTCAGCATTCATTTTAATGCATGATTCCTGTCATGTGTAGGTAGCGGCTAAAGCTTTGGAAACAGCAGTATTTGGAGCATATTACAACGTTATTATAAATCTGAAGGACATCACAGATGCTTCATTCAGGGCTGCCGTGAGTATCAGAAAACATTTAACAATTACTATTTTATATCTAGGTCAGGGTTCCCATAGTACATTTTAATAATTTTCTGCATTTAATAACCACACTTTAAGTGATACGAAACTTGTTTTAAGGAACTCATAAATGTCAAAGAGCCAATTGGAATTGTTCCTGGTGATCATGGTAGTTTTTGTGGTTTGTTGATTTTCAGACTGAAGCAAAAGTGTCTGTGCTGTTAAAGAATGCCAGACAGAATGCTAACATAGTGCTGGAGATGGCCGACCAGAGGAAATGATGCAGACTTTATTAACTCACACCAAATCAAATAAAGGCACACTGATGTGCAGATTGAAATATTTCTGCTATAAAACTCTCTGGTGTACGACACATAGACTTCATTGTAAGTGCATTAACTGAAATGCATTTCGCATTTATTTATACAAGCATGGATAACTAAACTAAGCTAAAATTCAAGCAAGGATAACTAAACATTGTGCAGCTTGTTAAGGAGAGATTTTGGCAAAAATGGGCAAAAAAAAAAATCCCTTATTGAAGGTGGGCGCAGAATAACAGACTTGAGGATGTGCTATTTTGACATAAGCAAACAGCCAGAAGACTATAGCAACAACTTTTCAGCGCACTGGCAACCACCCCAAAAATCTTATCATAATAGGAGCAAGGTTTGCACAGACAAGCATCACTCATATTTTCATTAGGCAATGTAGAAATACCCTTCTTGCCACTTCCAAAGAACGAATTTAAAGTGAGTGGCAATGTAGTTATGAAATAATTGCAATTGCAAAACACTTTTTAGGTATGCAAAAGAGCATGACATTTTTCATTAATTAAACCTGAGAGCTGTGGTTTGTGCGGTCATATTTTGAATAATCAGACTCACCCAATGTCTCATAGTTATAATGATTGTAAACACACTAGGCTGTTTTGAGGTTATAACCCATATATATACCCATATATCTCGGTTGAGTGTTATCTTTGTGTTTGTTCTGAAATAACTTGATAATCCACCAGGTGGTGGTGCTGAGACTGACCCACCAAAGGCCACCCTCAACATCTCACTTCTGTGTCCTTGCCTAGCAGTCTTCTGTTGTTATTTATGCATGTATTAGCTAAAGCCGCACTGCTGGAAAAGAGAGAGAGCAGTGACATCTGTATCTGCAGATGCTACAGAACAGCTGTAGCAATACTGTCCTCAGTCATTATTTCTGCATATTCCAAAGTCAACGCATACCAATGTTACAAGCTATAACTGCGGTCTAAAAGTGAAGAAAACCCATTCACCAATATAAACAAGGTGGTGTATCCTTATGCACCCATTTTCAGGTGTTTATACAGAAAATATTTTGTATAAAACACAATCAACTGCTTGGATAGACACTAAAAACTTAGAACAACCCAGCAACTACCCAAGCTATAGCATGACAACATGCTAAAAAAGAACACTCAGAACGCCCACTCAATTGACCCTTCGCATGGAGTTTGATTGACAGGCGATCTGACAAATCCTAAAGATGAATCTGCCATTTTTGTCTGACAAACAAACCAGACAGGAGAGTAGATTAACGTCGGTGGACTTGAACTTGAAAAATGGTGTGTATTGACATCTTTCCACGGTTGAAACAAGATACCGTCTGATGTTCATTCATGTTTATTTTGTGCTATAAAGAGAAAGAGAGATCGGTTCATGCTCTTTGCTCCACAATGTATTTTTCACTATGTGAGAACATGGTGTGTGGTATGAGTGTGCCATGGCTTGTCAGACATAGCAACAGTAATAAAGGGGGGTGGGTCTTTGTGAAGGGTCAGTTGTATAGCAGCAAGCTAAAAACACTCAGAAACCTCTAGAAACCACCCAGAACCATGTTATCATCCATATAGCAACCCTTTAAAAACTTTCAAAACAACCTAGCACCCTAGCAACTATCCATAACATGCAAGCAACAACATAAGGGCATCTTAAAAAGAACATTTAATTGTATAGCAACAAACTAAAATCACTAAGGAACCCCTAGCAACAACATAGCAACCACCTATCAACCATATACCAACACTTTAAAAACCTTTCAGAACAACCTAGCAACCCAACTCTAACACTATATAACACTAACTATAACACCTAAGCACCAATGTGACAACATCCAAAAAAAGAACACTTAGAACACACTAGCAATTACATAGCAACAAGCTAAAATTCACTCTACCAGCCTCATAGAAATCACCAAGAAATTCTATCAAACCACAACACTGTTGAAACCTTTCAGAACAACCTAACAACTAACCTAGCAACCACCCTAGCAAATACCCATAACACCCCAGGCACAACATCATGATATGCTAAAAAGAACAACCACCTAGAAACGCCATAGAGCAACACTTAAAAAAACCCTCAGAACAACCTACCCATAACACACATACAAAAGGAAGTACTCCGAAAGTACTTAAAAACATCTGAAAGGCTGCACACTTGGGTGCATCATAATTGAGTGAATAATCAATCAGCATAATGAAATTCATATGATATTTTAAGGCATTTGTGTTAGAAATTCATGGTATGTCCAACAAAATAGGCAGTCCCTGAAAATCCTCAAATCAAAAAAAAAAAATTACCCAAAGAGCAAAAATTATTTTGTGCTGTCTCATCTGGACTTGTGCTTCTCAATCCCACCAATCATACGATATCTAACAGCAGGGAATCTTAAGTATAAAACTGCCCGAGAGGCTGAACATTTGTCCAGTGCTGTTTGGAGAGAGTTGTTGTAAAGGTGCCGTCCATTCCCAAATGTGTAAACGTCTACAAAGACACATCAGGAAACATGTTTATCCTTCTTTATCTGAGCTTTTGGAGTGTGTTGGGGTCACACAGTCAGACCCTGAGTGCAAGAACAACAGCTACAACAATAACATCACGAGCATTTGTGACGCCTGGAGACGACAACGGCCAGTGCACAACCTGTCAGTTTAGACAGCAGAGTAAACTCATGCGCCTGCACTCCATTAAGTCTCAGATTTTGAGCATCCTGCGTCTAGAACAGGTTCCAAACATCAGCAGAGACACGGTCAAGCTACTCTTACCCAAAGCACCTCCACTGCAGGAGCTCCTGGACCAATATGATCAAAATGGAGGCATTAGTGAGGATGAGGAACAAGGCAGCAGTGAAACCATCATTACCATGGCCACAGAACGTAAGTACAGCAATGTTCTGTATTATATAGTCACCACAAAATTATTCAGACACTTTAGTCACACTTAAAATTTGTCAAGTTACTTCTGAGAAACATCTAGCATCATTTGCAGATGCTACTTAGTTCGTTATATTGTTATTGAATGCAAAGAAATTAATACTATTTAAAGTGTGGCTTTAATGTCCAAATACATTTGGGGGCCATTGTATTATCTGAAAGGGCTGACTATGAACCGACTATGGTTCATTCATTCTGCTGTTGTTGGAAGCCGACCAAAGGCAACAGACCTTGTTTTATGCAAAGCTGTGCACCAAGAGAACAACATACAAAGCACATTTGGCCTACGAAAATAAGGCCTCTTTTCAACGTTTTTCAATGGAAACCTTAGATTCTGCCAAAAATACAGTAGTTGCTCTATTAATGCTATGTCAATAAAATGGTGGTGATTGGCATTTTCCACCAGTGTCAGCAGAAAAAGAAGGATTCATAAATGTTCTTGCACTCTTTGAATAATTTTAAAGTTGTATTAATAACCCCAGCAACTATATGATTTTGGCATAAACCTTTGCAAGGATGGGCAACTCCGCCCCTGGAAGGCCACTGTCCCGCAGATTTTTGTTCCAAACATAATAATAAAACATACCAGCCTGGAATTTTCATGTAAATCTCAAATCTGCGGGACAGTGGTCCCAGGGGCAACTTTGTACCTTATCTACCCCTGAAAGGTGCATATTAGTACCTTAGAGCAGTAATATGTACCCTTACTACTATGTTAACCCATAAGCTGATAAGTTGTCCCTTTAAGGGTACTGGCCCGGTAACAAGCTGTTGTACCCGTAAAGGTATAATTTTTGTAAATTTTTTTCTGAGAGTGTAAGGTGAAAAAGGTGTACATGGTCTTAGTAAACTTAATTCCTTGCAGCTCAAGCAATCACTCAATCTGAGGGAATGCCGAAGTGTTGCATGTTCTCACTGAGCCCAAAGATTATGCCTAACAGCATCCTCAAGGCCCTGCTCTGGATCTACCTCCGACCAGTAGAGGAGCCAACCACAGTCTTTATCCAGATATCTCACCTTAAGTCTTTGTCTGAAGGGAACAACCACTCAAGAATACGTGCACAAAAAATTGATGTGAACGCCCGGACAAACTCCTGGCAGCACATCGACATGAAGCAGCTATTGCAGTTGTGGCTCAAACAACCTGAGAGTAGCTTTGGGATAGAAATCAAGGCCTTTGATGCAAATGGAAATGATCTGGCTGTGACCTCCGCAGAATCTGGAGAAGAAGGACTGGTAAGTCGGTGCATGCAGTGGTACTTATGCTTCTTTGGGAAACCAGGAGTTATTTTGGTTTGCTTGTCAAATGCTGGACTAACTTTAATTAACTGATCTGCCAAAGGTTTATGAAAGTGTACATCAGGGTTGTCCAGTCCTGTTCCTGGAGGTCTACCTTCCTGTAAAGTCCAGCTCCAACCCCAAATAATTAAGATCTTCAGGAGCACTTGATAATTACAGGTGGTGTTTGATCAGGGTTGGAACTGAACTCTGCAGGTAGGTAGATCTCCAGGAACAGGATTGGGCACCCCTGGTGTACCTAGTCTTACCTTACAGAGTAGTCTAATGCACTGGTTTCCAACCCTGTTCCTGTATACCCACCAGCACTGCACATTTTGCATATCTCCTTTGTCTGACACACCGATTTCAGGTCTTGGAGTCTCTACCAACGAGTTGATGACCTGAATCACGTGTGTTTGAATAAGGAGACATGCAAAATGTGCATTGCCGAGGGGCCACAGGTCTAGTGGATAAAGGAATACTTGACCTAAAGATGAAAATTGTGTCATCAAATTCTGATCCCCACCACTGTACAGTAGCTTTCAAAATGTATGTGCAACTTGTGGAGTTTTAATGTACCTTTAGAAATCTGTCAAATCTTATTCAGACTTGGTAGATCCTGCCAAGTCTTACTGAGTTTTCAGAGTAATGGTGGAAGACAAGGTACGTTCAAACTCCACAAAGGGCCATAATACGCTTGAACACAGATTTTATTGGTCAGGTTTATCAGGAAGGTGGGGGCTGTTCCTGTAAAAAGTGTATTGCAATTAATGTCAAGTATGAGCTTAATTGCACCTTTGAACTTAATTGACCATGACTGAGCTAATCGTTCTTATGTCCACCCTTCCAGCAACCCTTCCTGGAGGTGAAAATATCGGACACTGGTAAACGGTCCAGACGGGACACCGGCCTCGATTGCGATGAGCATTCCACTGGGTCACGTTGCTGCCGGTATCCACTCACCGTTGACTTTGAGGAATTTGGTTGGGACTGGATAATTGCCCCCAAGCGCTACAAGGCCAATTATTGCTCTGGTGAATGTGTGCAGAAGTACCCCCACAGTCACATCGTCAACAAGGCCAACCCTCGGGGCAGTGCAGGCCCGTGCTGCACACCCACCAAGATGTCGCCAATAAATATGCTGTACTTCAATGACCGTGAGCAGATAATCTACGGAAAAATCCCTTCAATGGTCGTAGACCTTTGTGGCTGCTCTTGAGCCTGAGAGCTTCTCGAGTCGCTACGACAGCAAGCCCTAACTGCTCTGGACCAGAGGGAAGTGAAAACAACCTTTACCTTGTCCCTGACCAAATAGTTCCTGCTAAAACAATTGACCACACCAGGATCCCAACAAACCAACTTATCCAATTCTTTTAGTTCGTTCTCATCTACTGTTGCACACAAGGACAATAGTACCAAGGTGACAAGTGTTTCTTTGTTTATGAAGGTATAAGTCTTCCGCTGTGAATGCATGTGAGCATAGAGATGACCTGATGGGCTTTAGCAGCTTGATATCAGAATGTAAAAATTGCAAAAAGTACTTTTAAGTTTTAAATTAATGTCAAAGGGGGTTGTATAGTTGATTATTTATATAAAGTCACTTATCCCCCAGTGACCCAAAAACAGGAACACTGACCCAGAAACTCACTCAACATGACGTCCAAACAATAGACTTTAGAAATTCTGCAGTTGTTTCATAGCATATGGGTAGCTGACAGATGGTAGGGATAGGAAAACGCTTTTCATTGCTGTAACTGGTCACAAATTTTAAATGTATAAATAATCTTTAAATGCTTTTTAGACATTGCTGGAACATGTCAACTACCCAAAAGCATGCAGCTTATGTTCTTGTCAAAAAACATCAATTAAATTGCCAATTCACTAGGTAGCCTACATAATGTCATAGGATAGAGATGGACATGGAGATTTTATTTTAATTGTATAGATTCTATGGTTCCAAATCATGTTATAGTTTTGATCTGTTGTACCAAGTAAAATGCCTGTTCTTGACGTCTCTGAGGAGTTGTTTTCGCGTGTCCTTAAGGGACCTCTTCAGTATTTTCCCTTTGTAACCCTAACAGTGACACCATTGACACCATTCCAAGCATGTGGAGCACATTATGGCGCTCAAAAGCAACAAACTCATTTCCATGGAAGCTAAAGCCTCTCCTGTTTTATTTTGTTCTCTGGAGGGTTCCCCAGTGTGATTGAGGCCCCGTGAGGCAACGACACTAGGAGTCTGTCCCCAGGGCAATGAGTGCACTTAGAAATGTCTTAATTTGCTTTTTTGAAAAGGATTTTGCACACTTTGCTGCATGATTCAATAATAATACTTACCATGAAACTATAGGTTTAGGACATGGAAGACAAATAAACAACCTTGCCTCTAATACCGACAGGCTGAAAAGAGGGGGGAAAACAAGACAAAAAAAAAATGCAGTGCAACTAACCATATCATCATGCACAGTTAGGACAACTAAATAAATTAAAAAAATTATATATACACTACCGCTCAAAAGTTCGGGATCAGTAAGACTTGTAATGTTTTTTAAAGAAGACTCTTAAGCTCATCAAGGCTGCATTTATTTGATCAAAAATACAGAAAAAAACAGTAATCTTGCAAAATGTTATTACAATATAAAATAATGGTTTCTATTTTAATATACTTTAAAATATAATTTATTTCTGTGATGCAAAGCTGAATTTCCTTCAGCCATTACTCCAGTCTAAAGTGTCACATGATCCTTCAGAAATCATTCTAATATGCTGATTTATTATTAGAATTATCAACAGTTGTGCTGACAAATATTTTTTAGGAAACTGCGATACTTTTTTCAGGATTCTTTGATGAATAAAAAGTTAAAAAGAACAGCATTTATTCAAAATATAAATATTTTCTAACAATATAAATATTCTTCTTCTTATCAATTTAACACACCCTTGCTGAATAAAAGTTTGAATTTCTTTCAAAAAA